TGTATGACTTAGCTATTTCATTGCTGTGAATATACCCCAAGGAAAACAGAACTGAGATACAAATGGAGACTTGTACACCAATGTTCATATGAACACAGCCGAAATGACCACCCACAAATGACTGGATTGAGAAACACTGGTACATTTACACAATGGAATACTATGCAACACTCAGGAGCAATGATTTTGAAAAATCCTATAGAACACGGGAGAGGCTAGAGAGCACTATGCTGAGTGAACGAACTCAGACACATAAGAATAAGTACTGTGTAATACCATTATTGTAAAAACAGAAGTATAATAATTAAGATAATTATCCAAAAAGGAAAGAGGAGGGGACAGGGGAGCTGAGGGGTGGGAGTCAGGGAAATTACAAGGTCACAGTTTGGTTGGTGGAGGTAGGTGGTGGGAAAAAACCAAATACACATTAATGAAACTCAATTTAAAACAAAGCCTTCAATATGGGTTATAGCTCAGCATTAAGAAAATAAAAAGACAACCAAAACAGTAGACAGCATCATGGTAGGTAAATGAAGACTGAAATTGTCAATGATCCAATTTTACATCGAGCCACATTCAACACCCTTGATAGCAGCAGTCATAAAATCAAAAGGTATATTGCATTGGAAAAATCAGATATCAGGGATCTCTTTAAAAGAGCAAGAATGTCAGTTTAAAGCCCAAGGTGTATCTCGCCTAAGACTATGGCATTTTCAGTTGCTTCCTATGGATATGAAAGTTGGACAGAGAATAAGATGGACAGGAGAAGACTTGATCCCATTGGATTGTGGTGTTGATTAAAAATATTGACTATACCAAAACTGGCTAGAACAGTACATTGACAGAATTTCCAGAAATACAAGGTGGCTTTAGAAGAGGCTGTGGCACTAGAGATCTCATTGCTGATGTCAGATGGATCTTGGCTGAAAGCAGAGTACAGAAGGATGTCTATTTGTGGTTAATTGACTATGTAAAGGCATTTGAATGTGCAGATCGTAACAAATTGTGGCTAATATTGAGAAGAATGAGAATTCCTGAACACTTGATTATGCTCATGAGAAATTTAGATGAAGAAGCTGTTGTCCACACAGAGCAAGGAAAAACTACATTGTTCAAAATCAAGAAAGGAGTGTGTCAGAGATGTGTCTTTTCTCCATACCTTTTCAAGCTATATGGTGAACAGATCATTCAAGAAGTTGGACTTCATAGAGAAGGATGACATTAGGATTGGAAGAAGACTAATCAACAGCCTGCATTATGCCTATGACAAAACCTTGCCAAAACTGAGGAGGGCTTGTAGCATTTGCTGCAGAAGATCAAGTACTGCAGCCTTCAATACGGACTGCGTCTCAACATCAAGAAAACAAAAATCCCACCACAGGGTCATTAGGCAGCATCATGACAGGTGAATTAAAGATTGATGCTGATAATTATTTCATTTTACTTGGATCAATACTCAGCACCCTTGGCACTAGCAGTTAGGAAATCAAAAGATAAGTAGCATTGGGGAAATCTGCTGTCAAGGACCTCTTAAGAGTGCTAAAGAGAAATGATATCATTTTAGAGACTAAGGTGTACCTGATTCAGGTAATAGTCTTAATTGTTTGCGGTTCATCTTAGAGCTGAGCAGTGACCGAGGGTGACAGAAGAATTAATGCCTTTCAGTTGTGTGCTGCAGAAGACTAATGAATATACCATGGATTGACCAGAGAACAAACAGGTCTGTTCTGGAGGGGGTAAGACCAGGTTGTTCCTTGGAAGCAAGGAATTTGAAAACTGTCTCATAGATTTTGAGCTTTCTGTCAAGAAGGACCAGTCCTTGGAGACGACCATCGTGCATAGAAAGGTGGAGGGTCAGTACAGAAGAGGAGATTGATACAGTGACTGTGGCAAGGGGGTCAAGTGTGTCAGACACAGTGATAGGATAGGGCAAGGTTTCTAGCTGTCATTCATGGGGTACACAACAACAGCAACAAACTACAAAACAGTCTGTCTCAAAAGTAGTACAACTTCTTGCTTCTTGCAGGGGAAGATAGTGAGACTCTGTCTCACATACTTTGATACTTTGAGCTTGTTGTTAGGAGGCCAGTTCTTTGGTTTTCCTAGATATCAAGCTAGGGAAAGTGGGTTGTTTGCCATCAAATTGTAGCTGACTCACAGCTGACCCTCCAGTGGGTTTTCAGAGGCAGTTTAATCACATGGAAGGAGATTATTCATCCTTCTCCCACAGAGCAGCTGGTATATTACAACATGTCTTTGGGATTGCAGTGCCGTTTCTTATCACTAGACCACCAGAGCTTCTTGGGAAAAGTGGAGAGTCAGGAAAAGAGAGGAAGATCTACAATAAGGTAGATTGACACAATGACTGCAACAGTGGTCTTGAGCATGATGGCGATTGTAAGGATGGTACAGGATAAGATAAGCGATCTGTTGTTCAAAGCGTTGCTGAGAGTGACATGGCGCATTATGTGGTGGGCTGCTAAATGAAAAGTTGACCATTGAGATCCCCCAGCCACACTGTCAGGGAAAGGTGAGCAGTCTCTCCAGTTAAGATTTATACTCTCAGAAATCTATTGGGGGGGTCACCATGAGTCAGAATTGAGTCAGTGACAGTGGGTTTTATTTTAGTCATTTAGGAGCTCTGGTGTCTTACTGGTTAAGTTCTTAGCTACTAGCCAAAAGATTAGACATTTGAATATATCCAGAGATAGATCTGCTTCTATAGGGTAACAGCCTTGAAAATTCTATGGAGCAATTGTACTTTGTTCACATGGGGTCACCGTGAATTGAAATTGAGTCAGTGGCAACTGATAACAACAACAGTGGGTAATTGTAATATGCAACCAAAGCTGAAAATCACTGATACAAAACAAGAAAAAGCAAAAATTCTTTTAGCTTGAATGTACGGAGGGAGATAGAAAATTGAAACTAATTAATAAAAATTGCTAACAGTCAAGAAATCAAAAGATGTGCTGTGATGGGAAAGTCTGCTGTCAAGGACCTCTCCAAAACACAAAGGGGGAAAATTACAAAGGGGCAGTGATGTTAGTTTGAAGACTAAAGAGTACCTGATTCAGGCCCTGATCTTTCAGTCACTTGCTGTGCATCTGAGAGTTGGAAGAATTGATACGTTTGAGCTGTGGTGCTGGAGAAGAGTACTGACTGTCCTGTAGACTGCAGAAAGAGTTAAGTATGCACGCTTTGGAGAAAGAGCAGCTACGAGGGCTCATTGGAGGCAGAGATGATAAAGCTTCACCTCACGTACTTTGAGCATGTTCTTTGGAGAGGGACATCAAACTTGGAAAGGTGGAGGACTGACAAAGAAGACGAACCTGAACAAGATAGACTGACAGTGACTGCAGCAATGAGTTTAAATATGTCACAGTTGATGAGGACGGCATAGGACAGGGTTCATAGGGTAGTTATGAGTCATACTCAGTGACCCCTAACAAGAACATCAATACAATTAAACTACTATATCATACTGATTTAAAAAATATATTTCTTGTTGTTTGAGGTAATTTACAAAGCAAATTTGTTTTTCATTCAATAATTCTTGTTTTGTTTCATACCATTAATAACAATATCCACCCGTTAACAAATGAATGGATAGAAAAACTCTGATATATTCATACAGTGAAATACTACACAGCATCAAAAAACTTGTAAAACATTACACAACATGGGGGACCCTGGATTGCATCATCCTGAGTGAACTATCTCTGTCACAAAAAGACAAATACTGCACCGCACCACTGATAAAGCTGGTCTGACATGGGGGGGGGAGTTGGGAGGAGAATAAGATAAGAGTGGATAGATAATGACCTTCGCATTGGAACAGATAAAAAGAGAATTGTCTAAAATGATTATATGATTAGGCATTATATGTTCTCCAGCAGCCCAGAATAAGAGGTATATCATTGCAAAGAGGACTGAGGGGCAGGGGGTGGGGAGATAGGTAATTGTACAACAATGAATGAATATTAGAAAAAAGTGAATAGGGGGGAGGGGAGGAAGAAGGAGTAAAATGTGCAACAATGAAGGAATGAAAATCTAACTTCTCTGTAATTGTTTGTTAAAATTACAATTACAATTTGATTTTTAAAAAAAGCAATATCCAGAACATAATCACACTTTTCTTAATTCCACCCTGTGATTCTCATTTCCGTGAATCTTTCTAGTCTACTTCTAACTGGCTTCGGGGCTTTAGCCTTCAGTAAATGTTGCTTTTGACTTTTTATGGTTGGTGAGTCTAAGCAGTGAGTGCCTCCCTCTTGTTATCTGTCACATTATAGGCCTGTCATTTGCTTGAAAGTTGAGCCAGGAAGGAGAGTTTTGTTCCAGGTATGAAGAGTGATTAAGGGCCATAGTCCGAGGGGTTCTACCAGTCTCCTAGCAGATCAGTAAACCTGACTTTTTGTCGTGTTTTTCCATTTTGCTCCACATTTCTCTCACTCTGTGCAGGATCTTTTACTGTGATCCCTTTGAGAGTGGGTAGTGGTAGTTGCTGGGTGGTTTGTTAAAGGTGAATTCTGGTCAGGTGTTGTCCTGTCAGTGATGCTAGTGTGTTTTCTCAGTCCTTATCCAGCTTATAACACAGCTGAAACTGGAGCAGATCATTCATTGCCTGCTGGATGAATGCCACAAAGAGGTCAGTATGTAACAGGGGGTTCTTGAGCACCCCTCAACTTTCATGTATCAGAGCTAGGCCAACCCCTTCTTTAGAGAGGTGGGGTAACTGAAGCCATAGAGGAAAAGGTGCTCACTTGCCTGAGATCTCTTGACTCAGTGTTAGAGCCAGGGGTAGGGCCTTACCTTTCTGATCCTGCCCTGTGTCCGTCCTTCCTCTTTCAGTCTCCCAAATGCTACCTCTTGGTGGTGCAGCCAGATTGTCTTTCTGATAATCACTCTGTGACCCATTCTGAGTCTCTTCAATTTACTATTCATTTTATCTAATGAGTCTATCAAGGAAATATGTTTGCTATGTTTTAGTTTAAGGTTTAATTTTATGGATTATATTGATGACATTTGTCTTTATCAGCATTAAGGTAAGCACTAATAATGCTTTTACATATGTATGTTTTACTGTTGTTCATTGTAATTGATTGTCTATCTTCTCTGGAGCTGCTGGTGAATTTGAACTAACTGTGGCCTTTGAGTTAGCAGTCCAACTCCCTATGGACAAATATGTACTGACTTAGGTGCTGATGACTCAGAGAGGCACTACTCCGTCCTTGTTCCCTACAGTTCTCAGTGAAGCAAGAGAGGTGGACATTTATTCTGCTTGAGAGGCTGTTTGCTGATGTCACGAGAGGCATAAACAATGCAGGTGTTGGGGAAAGTAGGCAAGATAGGTTTTGGTGGAGTGTCTCTCCTGATAATAATTTACAAATGTTCACTTTCTGCAGTTGTGTAACATGCCCTCCATACGAGACAGTCTGGCCACCTTGACCTTTCTCGGCAAGCTGGTGGATGCCATCCCTGCTCTAGCAGACACACTTGTAATGGAACATGGTGAGTGACGGTGGGAAGAGCTGCCACCATCCTTTTGCCTCCTCTGATCATCCTTCATCTGAGTGGCCTGTGCACTGTGTGAGCCTGGAAATGCCATTAGTTTCCTTCTCTAGACCTAAGTTTTCCCATCTGTAAAATCTTCTCTACGTTTATCAATATGAAGAAGGTCAGCTTTTATACTCTTGGTATTGTGTTATTTGGATTAATTTTAAAAAACTCAAATTAATTAAGCACCAACCGAAGAACCTTTCTTTCTGGCAGAAGGAAGAATTAATTCTAGAATATACTGTTACTAGGTGCTATCAAGTAGAGTATGACCCATAGAGACCCTATGAACAACAGGTCTGAACTCTGACCTATTCTGTGCCATCCTCATCATCTCTGAAACGCTTGAGCCCATTGTTGAAGTCCATCAGATTGAGGCTCTTCCTCTCTTTGCCTATCCTCCTCCTTTCCCAACATGATATCCCTTTCCAAGGAATAGCCTCTCCTAACAGTATGCTCAAAGTATGTGAGATGAAACTTTGCATATTTGCCTTCAAGGAACATTCTGGCTGTACTTTCTTCAAGACAAACCTGTTTTCTGGAATGTAGAAGCACACTTTTCCTGTCAGTAAAATACAAGTAAATATTTCACAGAGAATTTATACAAGGTTTTATTACTAAACTTTTTGAAAGCTTTGTTTCCCTTTAAGAGCTCTAATTACTCAAAAGCTCATTGTCTTCAAGTCAGAACTTACGCGTACCTCCAATGGACTTTTAGAGTCTATAAATCACACAGGAAGAGATTGCCCATTTTTCTCCTTTAGACAAGTGGTGTATTTAAACCACCAAAGAGGCAGGCCCTCAGGTTTTACGAAACTGTTATATTTAGAGCTATTGTACATAGGGTTGCTATGAGTTGCAGGTGCCTCGAAGGCACATAACAATAACGTAAGTGTTACAAGGATCAACTCAATATTTTAATGGAGAAGAAAGTTCTTTCCAGTGTTTAAAAATTATACAAATACCAGAGATTGTCAGTGCTGTCCTCTGTGGGGAATAAATTGAGCATGTAACACTGAAATGCCTTAATCTCTTGGGTTGTTTTCTGGACAGGCAACCTGATGGATCATCTGGCGAGGGGTCTGTTGTACCCGAATGAGGGGATTCAAGCTTCCACCTGTTACCTCTATGGGAAGCTGTATGCAGCACCAGCGGCAGCCCAGAAACTCTCTGGCCATTTCCGAGAGAAGCTATGTCCCGTCTTCCTGTCTACCCTGGAAAGTGCACAGACAAAGGAGCTACAAATCAACTGCTTGGGTAAGACACGGGGCTGGAGAGAAAAGAGAGAACTCTGGAGGATTTTGCTGTAGCCCTTAAAGTCTGTAGTGTTATTAGTTGCTATACAGTTGACTATAACTCATAGCTATCCTGTGAACAACAGATTGAAACCGTGTTCTATTCTGCACCATCCTTACGATTTCTGCCTTGCTCAAGCCTGTTATTGCAGCCACTGTGCCAATAGATATTGTTGAGGGTCTTCCTTTCTTTGCTGACCCTCTGCTTTTCACAGCATGATGTCTTTTTCCAAGGACTGGCCCTTCTGAAAACATGTCCAAAGTATGTGAAATAGAGTTTCACCATCTTCGTCTCTAAGGAGCACCCTGGTTGCACTTCTTCCAAGAAAAATGTGTTCACCCTTTTGTCGGTCTGTGGTAGGTGTAAGCAATATTTTTTTCCAACACTACACTTCAGAGGCATCTGTGCTTTGGTCTTATTTGTTGTTTGAATTTTCAGATACATAAGAAAGAATTGAAAATGCCATCGCTTGAATAAGGTGCACCTTAGTGAGATCCTGTGTGACCTTATCAATGGGCTTACATATGTCAGAGAGGATGAGGATGGCACAGGATAGGACAGAGTTCAGATCTGTTGTTCACAGGGTTGTTATGAGTCCTAGTTGACTAAACAACACCTAACGATGGAAAGGAGGCAATTTAGATAACAGATTTTCTGCCTCTGATGTCGGCCTGCCAAGTATATGTTGCACTGATTTCCAAGTTAATTGTCAGACTACACAGTTCACAAGCTTTCATTTATAAATCTACCATGTCTTTCTCTGCCTTCCAGGATAAAAATCTTTGTTTCTTCACTTTTTGTTGGATATTCTTTAGAAGACCCACTGTGCTCTTCCAGCCTCTTCTACTTTCTTTCTGAAACCATGTTCATTGCTGTTGAGCTGAAACCAGCTGATAGCTGACCCTCTATTGGGTTCCTGAGGCTATAAGTTGTGGAAGGTGATTTGACCATCCATCTTCTCAGTAGCTGCTGGTGAATTAAATGTGTAGCCTTTGAGTTCGCAGTGCAAATCTCTATGGACTAGGCTGCAGAACTCCCTTAGTACATAATGTCTATCAAGTACTCTAAGGAGGGAGCTTTTTGTCTTTCTTATGCAGCAAGTGGGCGCTGCGATTGGTGACTATGTGAGGGCCTCTTATGGAACAAGAACCACAGGGAAAAGCAGAGTCAAGGGTGACAGTAACCCCTCTATACAATTTGGGCCAAAAGCCTTGAACATAATAGTGCAGTCACTCTGGCCAGGCAGGTCTGTGCTGGACTGTGAATCACAAGAGTTCACGGGCTACTATCGAAACAGAGTCCACTTTTCACCTAAATTGCATAGAAAAAGAATGGATAAAGCAACTTAGAGGAAAGAATGCTGGGACTGAGTCCTTAATATAAGTAGACCTTGGCCAAAGAAGGGAATAACATAGACTTCTAAAAGCACAAGGCAGAAAGCAAGGTAAGAAACTTGCAACAGAGCAGTAAGTGGAGTTAGAACATAAAAGATCAGGAATTAAGCACGTGAAGGTGAGGCCCTCGTCCTATCCAGGAGCTAGTCTGGACATAGTAGAGGGGAAGCTCAACTGATTACACTTCAAAGTCCGTCTTAAATGTTGCCTCTTCTATTCAGTCTTTGCTTATCAACTGCTCTTCCTGGCCAGACGTCTCATACGTGAACCGAACACTTTAAGTGCTGTGTGTTTTAGAGTCTGTTATATGTAATCTTCAATCTTGTTGCACTTCAATCCAGATTGAAGGCTGGAGTCTTTGACTTAATGTAGCAAAAACCTTAGGTCCTCCTCAGTTTCGGCAAGCAGGGTTGTATTATCTGCATAACGTAGGTTATTGATGAGTCTTCCTCCAATCCTGATGCCCCGTTCTTCCACATAGAACTCAGCCTCCCAGATAATCTCTTCTGTATATTGATGGGGAAAGTATGGAAATAGGATGCATCCCTGGCATACACCTTTCCTGATCATGATAGATAGTGAAGAGATTGAGCTTATTAACAGCTTCCACTATCAACATTCTTGGTACCAGAAGCCAAAAAATTAAAAGTTGAATTGCATTGGGAAAAATCTGCAGTCGGGGACCTCTCCAGAGTATTGAAGAGCAAAGATGACAATTTGAAGACTAAGGTGCGCCTGATCCCGGCCATGGTCTTCACAATTACTTGCTATTCATCAGAGAGGTGGACAGTGACTAAAGATGACAAAAGAAGAATTGATATGTTTGAGTTGTGGTGCTGGAGAAGAGTCTTGAACATACGATGGAACACCAAGAAAGCAAATAGGTCTATCTTGGAGAAGGTGAAACCAAGTTTCTCCTTGGAAGCTAGGATTTTAAAGCTCCGTCTCACATACTTTGCGCTGTGGTGCTGGAGAAGAGTATTGAGGGTACCATGGACTGCTAGGAAAACAAACAGATTCATTCTGGAAAGGGTCAAACTGGGCTGCTCCTTGGGGGCAAGGATTCTAAGGCTCCGTCTAACACACTTTGGACATGTTGCAAGGAGGGACAGGTCCTTGGAGAGGGACATCATGCTTGGTAGGGTGGAGGGACAGTGCAGAAAGGGAAGGCCCCTTATGAGGTGGACTGATTCAGTGACTGGGGTAATTGGGATGGGTGTATCAGAGATGGTGCGATTGGCACAGGACAGAGCAGAGTTTAAGGATGTTGTACATAGGGTCACTATGTGTCGCAAGTGACTTGGCAGCACATAACAACAACTCACATACTTTGGGCACATGGCCAAGAGGGTCTGGGTTGACTCAGTGACGGGGGTAATGAGGGTAGGTGTGTCGGAGATAATAAGGTAGGCTCAGGATAGAGCAGAGCTCAGGGCTGTTGTACACAGGGTACTATGAGTCACAAGTGACTTTACGGCACATAACCACATCATATGTTATTTAGCTTAAAGTCTAATGTCCTCACAAGGTTCCATGTAATGTAGCCCTCTCCAACCTCATCTCTCAATTTTCTGTGCTACCTTGTACTCTAGTCTCACTGAACCAAATATGTCTTCAGGAACATCTGCCCAAAGAAGATGCCTCTCTATTTGAGTTCTCGTCCTTAAGACTTGGCTCAGGTATCTTCTTCCAGAGGACTTACTTGATTTCACAGCTGAATTTTATACTTCCTCTGCTTTCTTAAAATGTTTGCAACAGAAAATTAAAGACTACAGTCTTCAAATGAATTACATTGCAATATCAAGAAAATGAAATTTCTCACCATGGAGCCAATAGGTAGCATCATGATAGATGGTGAAAAGACTGAAATTGTTAACATGTTGTCACAAGTGATGGCTATAGTCATCCTGCACGTTTTAGTAAAAAAAGGAACATTCGTATGAAGTGTACTAATGCATTTATTTGTTAATTATTCAGTAATACATAAAAAAGTAACATTCCAGATAACATATCAATTATTTGTGCGATTTTTCATGTTTAACAATTCAGAATATTTCCACCATCTAGAATTTTCATGGAAAAACTGTGACAAAATGTGATAATTTTCACTTACAAACATACGACTGATGCTCAATTTCATATGGCAGTCATAAAAATTGGAAAAAAATGTTTCTAAGCATGGCCATCAATTTAAAAGTCTGTGGCAACGTGTTAATAATTTGATCTTGCTAGGACCCACATTCAGCACTCTTGGTACCAAAAGTCAGGAAATCATGTTGTATTGAGAAAAATGTCCTGTCAAGGGCTTCTATAAAGTGTTAAAGAACATGAATGTCAGTTTAAAGACTAAGGTGCATCTGATCCAAGGCATGGTCTTTTTGTTACTTCCTGTGCATCTGGAAGTTGGACAGTGACTAAGGATGACAGAGCAAGAATCGATGCCTTTGAGTTGTGCAGTGCTGGAGAAGAGTCCTGAGCATATCGTGGACCGTCAGAAGAACAACCAAATGTGTCTTGGAGAAAACGCATCCAGGGTCTTTCTTGGTTGCAAGAATGGTGGAGCTTCGTCTCATGTTCTTTGGGCATGTTGTTAGGAGGGGCCCGTCCTTGGAAAAGGACGTCATGCTTGGCAAGGTGGAGGATGAGAGAGAAAGACCTTCAACAGCATGGATCGACACAGTGACTGTTACAGTGGGCTAAAGTCTATCTGAGATAAGGAGAATGAAGCCAAATAGGGCAGGATTCAGACCCATTCTTCTTAGGGTTGTTATGATGTGGCACATAATAACAGCAACAACATCTGATTTCTGCAAATATTGGGACTTTATTTTTCACATAATTTCATAACAAAATCCTGTTGAAGATTATCCAGAAACATCTGGAACAGTACATTGACAGAGAACTACCAGAAATACAAGCTGGGTTTAGAAGAGGTTGTGCAGTAGAGACATTATTGCCAATGTCAGATGGTTCTTGGCAGGAAGCAGATAGTACCAGAAGAATGTCTGTCTCTGTTTCATGACTCTGAAAAGGCATTTGACTATGTGAATCACAGCAAATTGTGGCTAACCTTGAGGAAAATGGGAATCCCAGAACACTTGCTGTGCCTATACAAAACCTATACTTGAACCAGGAAGCAGACCTCAGAACAGAGGAGGGAAACACTCCATATTTCAGAATCAGAAAGGAGTGCATTAGGGATGTATCCTCTCTTTTTATACCTTTTCAATCTGTATGCAGAACAGCTCATTCAGGAAGCAGGGCTTTATGAGGAATGTGATATCAGGACTGGAGGAAGACTCATCAACAACCTGTGTTATACAGATGACACAGCCTTGCTTGCTGAAACTGAAGAGGACTTAAAGCTCTTGCCGTAGATGGTCAAGGACTGTAGTCTTCAATATGGATTGAAGCTCAACATCAGGAAGATGAAGAGTCTCACCACTGGGCCAATGGCAGCACCATGATAGATGGAGAAGAGTTTGTGCTTGTTTGTTAACAGTTAGAGCTTGCTCGGCTCCACAATCAGTACTCCTAACACCAGTAGTTAGGAAATCAGAAGATGAATTGCACTGGGAAAATCTACTGCCGGGAACTTCTCCAGAGTGCTGAAAAGCAACAGTGTCAGTCTAGAGACTAAGGTGTGCCTAATCCAGGCTAGGGTCTTCACAATTACTTGTAATGCATCAGAGAGTTGGACAGTGACTAAGGATGACAGAAGAAGAATCAGGCTTTTGAGTTGTGAGGCTGGAGAAGAGTCTTGAACATACCAAGAAACTGGACTATCAAGAAAACAAATAGGTCTGTCTTGGAGAGGGTAAAATCAAGTTTCTCCTTGGAAGCTAGGATTTTGAAGCTCCATCTCACATACTTTGGGTATATGGTCAGGAGAGACTGGTCCTTGGAGAAGGACATCTTTCACGGAAGGGTGGAAGGACAGAGCAGGAGAGGAAGATCCTGGATGAGATGGATTGATACAGTAACTGGAGCCATGGGAGGCTGGTGTGTTGGAATTGGTGAGTCTGGGTCAGGACAGGGCAGGCTTTAGAGTTGCTGTACATAGGGTCACTTGGGTCACGGACGACTCGAAGGCACGTAACAACAACATTCTACCATGCAAGCTTTATTCAACTATTAGCCGAATTATGTATTCTTTAGAATGCTTTAGAAACTTACAATGACTTCTAGCATAAAGACTAAATTTTTAGCATAGTTATATGATCTCTCTGAAGATAATTCCTGCCTCTTTTCAAGCATCTTTTTTTTTATTTTTGTGTACCATTGAATTGGATACGACTGGCACAAGAGGAGATTGCCCCTCCTTCAAACTGTGCACCTTCAGGATTGCAGTGCAGCTTCTTGCCACTAGGCCTCCAGAGCTCCCTTCAAGCATTATTTCTTCACATTGTTTTCTGTCTTCAAACTGCTTTACTGTATTTCACATAGATGTGTGTCCTTAAGAGTTAGCTTAAACCACACTTGATCACGCAAAGCTTTTTCTGATCCCTACATTACTTAGATCTTCCTATATCTAGATACTTAGCATTTTTACATTTATCACAGTTATAAGGAATTATTCATGTGACTTTATGATTGTTTTCTCTACAGGAGTATATGCTCTATTTGCTGGTCAAAAAATATTTATTTAAAACATTTATTGCATTTTTTTACATATCAGGGACTTTGCCAGATGATAGATGGATGATCCCTGTCCTTGTGGAACTTGCAGTTCATTGGGGTGACCAGGGGCTAGACATATGTGGTTAACTGTTAAATATCTAGTTCCTTGTAATTGGCACATATATGTTCTCACTAGATCCTTGTAGAAGGGAGCTGCGTTCCAGAAAGCAATGTGTAAATGGAGAATAACTGCTCTTTCTGTCTAGGAAGACATGGAATATCTCTGGAGTTGACAGCAGATCCACCTTGGATGGATTCCAGTGCCCCTGTTGGTGTTTTTTTTCACTTCTTCCTCCTTTCGCTTCTTAGGTTTGCTGAGGCAGCTGCTGAAGTATGACCTCTTTGTGACCATGTTAATGAACAAGTCGATACTGCTGGAAAATGCTGAGAGTGTCGAGGGGCTGCCACGAGAGACTTCACTGCCTTTAGTGCTCAAAAAGGTAATTGTCTTGTGATGCCTGGTCTTCAAGTTCTGTAACAAAGGGAACCAGATGTCTCCTGGATCTTATCCTAGTCCACCACTGCATCTACCTAGGATTTCCAGGTATCCTTATTGGCTTGGACACTGTGCTGTTACAGGGCTCTGAACAGGCATCTTTCCAGTAAGTTCCTACCTTTGATACGAACTTTGTAAGTAAATCAGTATAAAATAGAAATTTTATTTAAAAAATTCCTACCTTTCATCTTCCCCTTTGCATTGGAATACCTGAGAATGAATAATGCATGCAGCAGAAAAAAAGCTACCTCCCTTGTTTTAGATATAAAACTCAGATCTCTCAAGTTGATACTTTCAAAAGCAGCTCTTCAAAACCCCCTTTTTTTCTGGACCTTCCTCATCCCTTTAGCCTCACTTGCTTGTCTTCCTCACTCTGATGTCTGGTGCTGCAGCAAAACACTTCTCCCTTGGCAGTTGAGGTGTGGTCACTCTGCTCCTAAAGCCGTGTAGATGCTCTGCCCCTCTGCCTGTGAGCCATCCTACGTTATTTGCTTTTAATCTCCAGCTGAGCCTTCAAGTTCTTCAAGGCTGTCATGTGAGCTCTTTCAGGCATACTATGTACCTATGTTGTTGCTATTATAAAGAATGCCAGAAGAATGTCATTTGTGTTTTATTGACTATGCAAAGGTGTTTGACTGTGTGTGTCATAACAATGGCTACCACTGAGAAGAATAGGAATCCAAGAAACACTTAATTTTGCTCATGTGAAACCTATACCTAGACCGAGAGGCTGTTGAGAGAGCAGGGCAACAGAACATGGTTTAAAATCACGAAAGGTTTGTGTTAGGGTTGTAACCTTTCTCCATATATATCTATTCAATTTGTATGCTGAGCAAGTCATTTGAGATGCTGGACTTTATGAAGAAGAATGTGGCATGGCATCAGGCTTGGAGAAGACTCAATAACCTGCGCTATGCAGAAGCACAAAGTTGCTTGCTGAAGGTGAGTAGAACTTGAAACACTTACTGCAGAGGATCAGAGCCTTTAATATGATTTCTACAGAACATCAAGAAAACAAAAATCCTCACCACGGGATCAGTAAACAACATCATGATAGATGGAGAAAAAATTGAACATCATGATAGGTGGAGAAAAGATTGAAATTGTTTCATCTAACTTAGGCCCATGATCAATAGCCCTTGATACCAGCAGTCAGGAGATCAGGAGATGTGCAGCGTTGGCAAAGTCTGCTGTCAGAGACTTCTCCAAATGACCGAGGATGACAAGATGTCAATTTGAAGACTAAGGTGTACCTGACTCAAGCATGATCTTTTTAGTCATTTGCTATGCATCTGACAGCTGGATAGTGAATAAGGATGATGTAAGAAGATGCCTTTGACCTGTGGTTTTGGAGAAGAGCACTGACTATCTGATGGACCGACAAAAGGACAAACAGATATGTCTTGGAGAAAGTGCAGACAGAGTGGAGGCAAGGATGTTGAAACTTTGGCTCACGTATTTTGGGCATGTTGGTAGAGAGGCGGTTCCTTGGAAAGGAATATCATGCTTGGAAAGGTAGAGGGTCAGCAGAAAGAGAAAGACCTTCAGTAAGATGAATTGACAGAGTGACTATATTGTGGATTCAAGAGTGTCAGAGATGATGAGGACGGCACAGAACAGGACAGCGTTCAGATCTGTTATTCATAGGGTGCTATGAACTGTATTCTGCTCATCAGTAGGTGACATTAGATGTGATGGCATCTAACAACGACAACAACAACATGTACCTAAGTAGGAAACTCTGGTGGTCTAGTGGGAAGAAGCTGCACTACCAGTCCAAAAGCACACAATTTGAATTCACCAGCTGTTCTGTGGGGAAAATATGGGTAATCTCCTCCCCTGTGATTTACTGTCGGAAAATTCACTAGAGGGTCAGCTATGAATCGGTTTTGACTCAATAGTTCACAACAATAACAGCATGTCCAGTGTTGACCTAAGCATATTGCCAGTGATTGACTAGGAGCATCTCTAAAGCAGAACCTAACTGAGTCTAGCCATCTCTCTGCAGTACTCAAAACAGGATCTGGTGGAGCTATATAGGTCCTCTTGTGATACTGAGGATTGACTAACCAGACTATGGGACTCTCTCTTCTTCCAGAAAGAAAGGAACCCTGATCAGAGTAGAAAAGGGATTGTTTGGGATAGAGAAGGCAGAAATTTAAATCAATCAGAGCAATGGCTCCTTTTTATTGATTACTGGGGTACATGCAGGGTCTCTGAACTTGAGAGATCATATTCAATATCCCTGAAACAGATAATTATTTATCAGGTTCCTTTTTGGGTTCATTTCTGTACTGCCATCCTGGAGCCCATGGTAATATATAGTTAAAATATTTCATCTTGGATTCAGCAAAGTGAGTCTTGTGTCCTCACAAGGGAGGACCTTGCATGATAATAGTGGTTGCAGGGACTAGGGCATATTTCTCAAGGGAGAGAACTTTGTGGAAACAGGAATCTGGCCTTAGAGATCCCAGCTACCAGCCATCTGTGGAGTTTAACTTGAATTTCCAGAACAGAGTGTCATGGCTTCTCAGTCAGTTCCCAGTCTTGAGCCGGTTTATTAATCTACAGCCAATTGAATAAAAGGAATGCTGGATTCCCTTCAAGAAGGACCCCATTACATTGCAAAAATTGATAATGTTAATCTGTCTCTTAGCCTTTCCCCAGGGAATTTGTGGCCTTTTATGAGAGTAACTATTCACTGAAATGAAAGAAACAGACTTTTCAGAGATAGAGGTGCCTCTAAGCATGCTTGACTGCACCTAATGTCTTAAGTAATACTAATTCAAAGATATTGGAAAAAAAATCAGTGGGGCTTACCCATCAGAGTAGGGGCATGTGGAGATGAGGTTGTTAAAGACTTAGTGCGAACCTCTAATTCTTCATATAGTGATCGACCCCGTTTCAGAATGTATAATTAGAACATACATAGTAATTGGCAGAATCTCCCTCATCAGGTACTTGACATAAGAACTGTTGTTGTTACATGCTGTCACGTCAGCTTCAGCTCATAGTGTACAGTACCTGTGTACAACAGCGTGAAGCTGCCTGAACCTGCACCATCCTCAGTGTGACTGAATCCATTGTTGCAATCACCATGCCAGTCCATGCTTTTTCTCTCACCCCCTACTTTACCAAGCAGAGTATCTTTTTTCAGGGACTTATCCCTCCTGCTAATGTGTCCAAAATATGTAAGATACATAAATTAAGGTCCTCTTAGGGCGTTATAACTGCACAATCATAGTAACCCAAAAGCTGCACTATATTTCTGGAGGGCATGTGGAGATTAGTGCCACCACTAAGAAATTGAAGGACACAGAGGTCTTGACTTCCACCATATCCCTAATCAACTAACCTGTTTGGCCTCTGGAAAAGATAGATGTGTCTAGATGATCATAAATTTAGCCAGGTGGTAACTCCAATTGCAGTGGTTGTTTCAGATGTTTCATTGAGGAAAAAAAAATCTCCTTGCTTGGCTCCACAATCAACACTCTTAGCACCAGCAATCAGGAAATCAAAAGAAGCATTGCACTGGGAATACCTCCTGTCAGGGACCTCTCCAGAGTACTGAGAAGCAACACTGTGACTCTGGAGATTCAGGTGTGCCTCAGAGAGCTGGACAGTGACTAAGGATGAAGAAGAATCAATACCTTCGAGTTGTGGTGCTGGAAAAGAGTCTTGAGCGTATCATGGGACACCAAGAGAACAAATAGGTCTGTCTTGGAGAAGGTGAAACCAAGTTTCTCCTTGGAAGCTACAATTTTGAAGCTCTTTTTCACTTACATTGGGCGTGTGTCCAAGAGGAACTAGTCCTTGGAGAAGGGCATGATGCTTGAAAGGGTGGAGGGACAGTGCAGGAGAGGAAGACCCTGCATGAGATGGATTGACAGTGACTGGGTGATGAGGGCAGGTCTGTTAGAGTCAGTGAGACTGGCTCAGGATAGGCCAGGTTTAAGAGCTGTTCACTGTGAGTCACAGACAACAACACATAACAACCACAACAATGATATCTCCTCGTACATGAGAAGGAGCTTTGGAGTCATTCCAAAAGTGGGTGGTTCTAATCCACCAGGTGCTTCATGGGAAAAAGATCGGAAATCTGTGTGATTCACCGCCATTGGAAATTTGATGGATGATCAGCTATGGGCCAGTTCTGACTTGATGGCAATGAGTTGTTTGCATTTGGTGTCTGGTATGCAGCTGTTGATCTGGCCAATCAGAATTTAAAAATGCTGATTTCAGAGGATAACTAGCTGCAGTTTGCCTTTAACACGTTGCCGCACACTTTTAAATTGACAAGCATGCTTAGAAACACTTTTTTTCCCCTTCCTTTGATGTATTACCGTCATTTGCAGCAACGTGTTAATTGGCAAGGCCAGCCATTCACCTCCACTGTCCTGCCACAGGGGTTATCAGCTCTCTGGCCTTATGTTATAATTCGAGGGTGAGAACTTTATCTGAAAAAAGAAAAAAATGCAAGTGCCTTCCACCTTAGTAAAATTTCTAGGGATTTGATGGTGTGGGGCATGTTGATAACCCTAAAATGAAGGATAAATTGTTATATCTGACCTATCTTACAAAAGGAGACATCGCATTTGTTATGCTTCTTTGGATTTTAGAATCAATTCCCTCATTTAAGTCTACTGCTCTGGCAGTACAAGTGACTGGAAAGGCTTCTAATGGGCCCAGAACTGAAAATTCTACATATTTGGGCTGCTGTGCAACCTGCCTTGATACTTGGGTCATATGATGCGATTGAACGCATTGTTCTTGAAGTGTCAGTGGTAGATAAAGTTACTGTTTGGAGTCTTTAGTAGGCTCCTGTTACCACTGTGCAAACATCTAGAATTTTGTAACAAACTCCTGTTAACCTCTGCAGATAAACTATTGTTCTTTTGAAAAACAGCTGGGCCATAGTAGCCCAAATACTTAACCACAGGACGTGTAAGCAAGTCACGATTCATGAGCTGCCCTTCATGAACTAGACCTGATCCCCAGTCATAAAGTTATCCATGCACAGAAGTGCTCCATCATTCAGTGGAAGTGTCATTAGTGACATCAGACTCAAGGACGACCCAAAGGTATAAGTAAGCTACATGAAGACGTGACCCAAATGCCCATGGTCTCCACTCCTGTCACATTACTCTTCCCTAAGTCTGCAACTCAAGGACTATTTCTTATAGTCAATTGACTGAAGAAGACAAAACTCCTGCCTGGCTTACAGATGACTCTATGCAAGCACCAGTCACTCAGAAATGGACAGGGGTTGCACTGCAGCACTTTCTAGGACTACCCTGTGAGACAGTCTCCCTTATTCATTGCTATTGAGTCGGGAGTGACTCACAGCTGACCTGCCATTGGGTTTCTGAGGCTAAATTTTATGGAAGAAAACCACTCCCTTTTTTTCCTGGGGAACCATTGGTGGATTGGAACTGCCAGAGAGGTGTGGCCTTTGAGTAGCAGTGTGGCTTCCTTTTTTTTTAAAAAAAATATTTATTTTATTATTTTGTGTGAGTGTACCGTCAAATCAGATCTGACTGGTACAGGAGGAGATTGCCCCTCCTTCCCCGGCAGAGCATCTGGTGGATTCGAACTGTGCGCCTCTGGGATTGTAGTTGCAGTTCCTTGCCACTAGGCCACTGGAGCTCCCCACAGTGTGGCTTTCTGTGGACGTGCTCTGTTGGTGTAGCCTGTAGGGAGTTGTGCTGCCTGCTCCAAGGCCAAGCCTCCCTGGTGACCCTCTGAACCACAGATCTGAACCGTGTTCCATCCTGTGGTGTCCTCACAATCTCTGATACATTTGATTGAGCCCATTGTTGCTGTCACCATGTCATTCCATCTTTTTGAGGGTCTTCCTCTCCTTCACTGACTCTCCACCTTTCCTAGTATGATGTCCCATTCCAAGAAAAAGCCTCTTCTGGCAACATGTTCAAAGTTTGTGAGACGACGTTTCACCATGTTTACCTTCAGGAACACTTTTTCTGTCAAAAGAATCAGTCCATGGAATGTTCAGTACTCGTCTCCAACACCACAGCTGAAAAGCAGCAGTTCTTCTTCTGTCTTCCCCATTGCCCAGCTCTCAGTGAGTAATAAATGATTGAAAAGACCATGGCCTGAATCAGGCACATTTTAGACTTCAAAAGGACATTACTGCTCCCCACTAATTTAGAGAGGCAAACATTGGTAGAAAGCCTTCATTTTTTCATCTTTCCATTTTTTTTATAGCAGCATTAGATAACTAAGACAGCTGACTTGGCTTCAGCTACCACTGAATGTCTGATTTTCCAGCAGCAGACACAACATTGATTCCGGCGTCATCTCTCAGCAATGTGGTGTCAGATAGATGACATTGGATTACTTCCATCGTGGAAAAGGGGCAGCATTTTTTTCTTCTTCTTACTGGTATAGAAACTTAACTCTGAATATGGATCTGCCTTCTCTACACACAGTACTTCTGCCAAGAACTCCACTTACAGACTTACAAGATGCCTTATTCACTGTCATAGTATCCTACCCAGTGTTGCCTCAAAATAAGAAAATCATTTCAAAGCAATTGGAGTGTGACATTGGGCCCATGTGCAAGGGATTCATTGATTTTACCATATTCCTAAGTATCCTGAAGCAACTAGCTTGATAGAAGAATGGCAGTGGCCTTCTAGAGACACCAATGCAGTGCCAGCTAAGTGGCAATATCTTGCAGGGGTGGGACAGAGTTCCCAGGAGACAGTATAGAGTTCTGAACCGGTGTCCAATATATGGGACTGTTTCTCCCATAGGCGATATCTACCTGTCCAGGACTCAAGGAGAGGCGGTGAGAGTAGCACTGTTCACTGGTACCCCTAAGGACGCACTCGCTACAGTTCTGTTGTGTTCCTGCAACCCTATGGTCTGCAGGCCTGCAGATTGCAGTTCCTGACGGAGTAGTGCTCCCACAACAAGGTACAACTCTTATTCCTCTGAACTGGAAGTTAAGAATGCCACCAAGTCACTTTGGGCTCCTCAACCCTCTACATCAGTAGGCAAAGAAAGAGGTTACCATATTGTCTCATGTGATTGATCCTGATTACCGAGGGGAAATCAGATTTATATAATGGACATAAAGAAGAGTAAGTCTGGAATACAGGAGATTGATCCAGTATGATGTCTCTTAGTACTGTGGTACACTGTGATTGAAGTTAGTGGAAAACTACAGAAAATCAACCTTTGAGAAATAAAGATTTAGATTGGCCACCAGGCAAAGAATCAAAACCAGGTGAGGTGAGTGACGAAGGCAATAGGAGTATGGAACGGATGATAGAAGAAGGTGGTTCTCAATGCCAGCTACAACTATGTGACTTGCATAGAAACAAGGCCTGTTAGGAGTATTTCTTCGTGCCTTGTTTCACATGTGTATGCACACAGGCATACACAAACTTTGTCTTCTTCTTTTCTTTATTCCATTACTTGTTATAAAATATTAGTGGGGTATGCATGTTAGTTGTATCACATTAGGCACAAGTATGACTTTGTAATTATCTTTATTTAAAGATTGTTGATATGTGCCATTGACTTGACTTGTATTGATCCTGTGAACAATAGACAATTTAAGGAAATACGCATGAGTGTCAATTTGACAGTGTTTGAGCAGTGAAAGTTAAGGTTATAGATCACCTTAGCTAGGCCGTCATTCTCATTGGTTTTGCAGATGTTACATAATAGTTTTCTATTTGTGATGTAATGAAAGCTGTCAATCATCTGAAAGATGAATTTTGTTGATGTGATTTGCATCCAGTTTATATGGATGTTCTGGCAAAGTTTTCTTGATCCTTGTCATCCCCTGACCTCTTCTTGGGATATCTGAGCATTCTGCTGTCTGACTTGGCTTTTTGGGGTCCATCAGCCTCTTATGATGGTACAGGACTATCAACATATCAGAAACATGGAAAGGCTGTGAAAACTCACCAAGGAAGGCCTAAGCACTTGTTGTTAATGGTCTTGAATACTACTAGTGATTTTGCCTTGTGCCCTTTGGTTCTGCTTCTTGCCAGCTGCTTCTCAGGGGGTCTTTCTGTAGTTGATTACATGCTCCCTAAGCACTGTCCTTGTCTGGTGCTGAGTAGTCCATAAGGGAGCTTCCTTTCGGTCCTGCCAGGGTGTCACCAGGTCTCCTTGTTTCTCCAGCTTCTCCTGTCTAGAGAAGAGACTCTGCAGGTGGCCAGTGCCCACTGTATAACTGCGGTGCTTGTCCACTCTCCAGCAAAGCATGCCCCGGCCTTCATCCATGCTGACATCCCAGGTAGGGGAGCATTCTAACCTTTGCCTCCAAGGACTAGTGTTACCATAGGACACCTGCAAGTCACAGCAGGGGCACCAGTATTATCTTTGTTGGGGGTCCTTTGAGAACAAAGAGTAGAGAGGTGGATCAATGACAGGTACATAATAGACTCTAAGAAGTCTGCTTCATGAAGTCTGAATTATCTTGCCACAGAACTCGTGTGTAACTTTGAGCCGTTTGTTCCTGATCTTTGTCATTTATTTTACCTGTAGGGATAAAAAAAAAGAGCCCACAAGGACTGGGACTCTGGAAGGGAAAGGGCCTGCTGTGAGCCGGGAGAGATTCCCTGTAGTGTACAGCACGTGTCACTGTGCTTCGGCTCTCAGCTTTGCCTTGAGAAGTTGAGACTCAGGCTCAAATCAGCAAGGCGCGTCCTCCACAGAGATGAGATGGAAGTCTAGTGTTCTCGTTTTTAAAAATCCTTTTCCCTACGTCATGGTTCTATCTGTTCTGAGAATTCAGCTCAATTCATTGCCATCAATTTGGAACTGACTCACAGATCATCCGCATATCTCATCCTGCATTAAGTTTCCAAGGATGTAAACTGCATGGGAGAAGATTGCATGTTTTTCTCCCATGGAGTCATTTATGGATTCACACTGACAGAGCCACCCCGTCCTCAGGTCAGCAGTGTAACTCACCAGAGCTCCCTTTCTGAGAGTTACTGTTGTGTGCTGTCGAGTCAGAACCGACTCCTCCAGTGCCTTCTCAGAGGCAGTTAAATTACACAGGAGGAGACTGCCCATCCTTCTCCAGCAGAGCAGCTGGTGGATTCTAACTGTGTGCCTGTGGGATTGCAGCACAGCTTCTTACCACTTGACCACCAGAGCTTCTGAGGTTGAGGAACCTGAATTCCAGTCCCACTCCTACCACTAACAGTAGCACTTTCTGGGTCTCAGTTTTTCCTTTGTTAATAAAAGCAACTGTATCATAACCCTGAGGGCAATTCCAGGTTTATCTGTGAATGGATGACTATGTATTCTGGAGATCATGTGTGAACAGGTAAAATAATAGGATTGAGATGCTGAATGAACCAAGGCCCTCACATTTATTAAGAGGACGTGAGCACACTGCGGCCATTCACCTTTTTCTTCCCTTCTCCCTGGCCAGAGTTCCTCTTCGAGCATCTTTCCTCTTCCAGTGAAGTGCTCATCTGGTCCATCTACAGCTGCTTGATCCTCCTGGCCGAAGAGCCACTCTTCTTCTCCAAGTGCCACACGGTGTATGGTTGGTAGCAGGGTCCTGTGTGTGCTCTGGGGGGCAGGATAGCAATTCACAGTTGGGTGGCAGCAGTAGTGATGGGACGGACCCTGGCCCCCACCTTGTGGGTGGTGCTGAGTCTGGTCATTTCTATCAGCTTAAACTTATTGCCAGAATCTACCTACAAGCACTGATGTCCACACATGACTCAGTTCAGTACCTCTGGCCTTCACAGACTGAAACAGAATTAACTCTGTTTTGTGAAGACTTGTGTGTGTCAGAGTAGAATGGTGCTCCATAGGACTTTCCCTGCCTGGATGGTCAGCAGCTCACTGACCTTTCTTCTGAGGTGCCTCTGGGTGAACTTGAACTTTCAAGCTGTATTTAGTTCCTGAGCACGTTACTTTTATTTAGTGCTTGAGCATGTTAATCCTTTATATCACCTCAGAGTTCCACTCACTGATTAGCAGATGTGCCTATATGTAGACTTTTGAGAAAGGGAACACTAAATTAACTCCTGTTGTATTTAATATTGGCTTTAAACTGTGTTACTCAGCTTTGATTCCATACTTGCCTGTGTCCCAGATAACTATGAGTTAGTCTGTAAATTTCACTGAATCTTTCTTTCAAAATTTCTTGAAACTGTCCATTCTAGTCCAGATTTCTTTGGGACTTTTAAAATCATATCTTTTTTTTTTGGTAGCCTTCCGGATATTTTCAGCTGTTCATTTTATGTTCTGTGTTCCTATCTTATGAGAGGTACCAGCCTGAAACATAGAGAATTAGAGATACATGCAGTGTGGACCCTGCCTCTCACGGACCTTGCTCTGAGGAAGGGTAGAGGAGAATATAAACAGGCAATTTCAGTAGCAGATAATTAGAGGTGTTAGAGGGAAGCTGGGAGATGTGGGAGGTCGGAGGTCAGGGCCCCACTTGGCCTGAGGCCTCAGCGAAGCTTCCTGAAGGAGTGGAGGTCTAACTCTGTAAGGCAGGTAGAAGCGTGCTACCAGGAGACGGATACCCAGAGAGCCAGCGGGGTACTGCGGCTCATGCTGGGTGTCAGAAAGGCAGCGATCTGTTATGTGGGAGCCTGCTCTTAAAAGATGTCTCTGTCAGGCCCCAGAACTTCAGGCCTGTCGGGACCCTTCTCTGAGGGACCTCTAACCCAGTTCCTCTCACCTCTCCTGGGTGGGCAGTAAAGGAGCAGTAAAGTAGGCAAAATGCTGACCCCGGCATCTGCTGTGTTGTCCTGAGGTAGGCATCGAGTCGGTGGTGAGGAGCCTACACAGCAGCCTGAAGGTGAACAACACAGAGCTGCACAAGCAGGGCATGATACTCTTTGCTGAGATCCTGACTCGGTGAGCAAAGCAGTGGGAAGTCAGGCTGCAGGGACCAGCCTGGAGGAGGGAGGAGTGAAGGATTTATTCTTGGTGGGACCAGTGATAGGTGTTCATTTCCATGCCCTTCTCAGGCAGCCAGAGGAGATCAAGCTGTTCACAAGCTCAGCCATGTGCCAAGATGCGAGCCAGGCCCTGCAAGATGCGGTGAGCAGCCCTGTGCTGGAGGTGGCCGCTGAGGCTGTGAAGGCCATTTCTGCTTTTCTGAGGTGAGGTGCCTGGGCGGGCTTGGCTTCCTAAACCTGCATGTACCCGCTAGCAGAGTCAGGGCATCTTCAAGGAGCACTTCCCTTTAGGATGGGGAAGTTTTCTTGAATTACTTTTTCTCCTTTTTTTAAAAATTATACTAGTTTATTTACAAAATTCTTTTTAAAAAAAATTTTTTTATTTTATTATTTTTGTGTGAGTGTACCGTCAAATCAAATCTGACTGGTACAGGAGGAGATTGTCCCTCCTTCCCCGGCAGAGCATCTGGTGGATTCAAACCGTGCGCCTCTGGGATTGTAGTTGCAGCTCCTTGTCACTAGGCCACCAGAGCTCCTCCCCTATTTACAAAATTCTAATACACAAAACAACTATGAGATATCATCTCACCCCAGTCAGAATAGCAAAATTTTAACAAAACAGCAAGCAACATACTGGTGAGGTTGTGGAGAACCTGGAACCCTTATTCACTGTTGGTGGGAGTGTAAAATGGTGCAACCAATGTGGAAGGCAGTATGGAGCTTTCTCAAAAAGTTGCAAATAGAGATACCATTTGACCCAGCAATTCCACTACTGGGAATATACCCCAAAGAGACCATAACTGACATCCAAGCACATATATGCACACCCATGTTTATCATGGCTTTGTTCACAGTAGCAAGGAGTTGGAAACAACCTAAGTGCCCATCAACAAATGAATGACTAGAGAAGCTGTGGTATATTCACACAGTGGAATACTATGCTGCATTGAAAAACAAGGAACTCCGCGGTTCGAATCCACCAGATGCTCTGCTGGGGAAGGAGGGACAGTCTCCTCCTGTACCAGTCAGATCTGATTTGACGGTACACTCACACAAAAATAATAAAATAAAAGTTAAAAAAAAACACAAAGAACTCATGCAATATTATTAAAAATGGGTGACCCCGCAGGACATTATGCTGAGTGAAGTATCTCAGTCACAAAAGGACACTGCATAGTGACACTGTTATAAAGCAGGTCTAACATCGGAGTTGGGGACTGAGAAAGATGGGATAAATAATGTATACTGTATTGAAACAGATGAAGGAGAGAACTGTTTAAAAGGGATATGTGATTGGGTATTTTTGTCATGACAGGAGTCCAGAGCGAAGGCTGCATAGTGGAGTGGACCAGGGGGGAGGGATTGTAAAACAATGAAAGAATTTTTCTTTTACTTTTCCAAGAAGGGGGAGGGTTGGGAGGGGAGAAAAGTGCAACAGTCAATGAATGGAAACCCAAATTCTCTGTAAATTTTCATTGAAATTAAAAATAAATAAAAAACCAGAACAAAATTCTAATACATTGTCTTGGAGGAAGTGCAACCAAGATGCTCCGTGGAGGCAAGAATGGTGAAGTGTCATGACATGCTTTGGCCAAGAACTGGTCAGAAGGACCAGTTTTTGGAGATGGAGGTCGTTCTGGGAAGTGTAGGAGGGTCAGCTTAAGAGAGGAAGACTATCTAGGAAATTGAGTGACATAGGGACTGCAACAATGAGTTTCTGCATGGTGGAGATTGTGAGGACAGTGTGGCCTAGGGCAAGGTTTTGAGCTGTTTTTCATGGGCTCACTATGATCCCAGGTGACTCAGACTCTAAAGTAATATATCAAATCTTGTCTTTTTGGTTATCTCACCTTGAAACAGCATTTCTAGACCCACTTGGGTAATATAATACACACTTTTGGATGTTAGGAAATGAACTCTGATTTCCCCTATCCTTTCCACTTCTCAACTTTAATTTTACAATGTAAATGTGTTAATATTTATAGTCTCTTCTATAACTATATTTAACTCTTTAATAGGTCTCTAGATTGGTTCTAAAGATTGAAATAAAAATAGCATTAAATTATAATGAGAACTACTAACATTTACATTACAATGACAGGTTCTAGCATTTACATTATAATGACAGGTACTACTGGAATTACATATCTCTTTCTCTAAAGTTACTGTTACTATTCTTGTGCTCATCAAAGGAGGATGATCCTAAAACCAAAGCCAAACTGATTCTTTTCTTAGATTACACCAGTTGCTCAAAATTATTGCCCATTCTTTATGTTTAGGTCAGATTTTTCAGAGAGTTGTTGGTTTTTGTGGGGGCTTCTGGTTGTCCTCTTGCACTTGTCAGCTCTGAGCCTAGATTGACTTCTCTCTGTCTCAGATCCCTTTTGTGTTTTCTACAATGTTATTTCCTAACTTTTTGCATTGGTTATCTTGAGCTGTTATAACAGGTTATCACAAATTGAGTGGCTTCAAACAACAGCTCTGAAGGCTGAAAGTTTAAAACCAAGAGGTCAGCAGGACAATTCTCCTGTGAAGGCTCTCGGGAAGAATACTTTCTTGCGTTTTCCTAGCTTCTCCTGGTTGCTGACAGTCCTTGATATTCTTTAGCCTGCAGCTGTATCTTTCTAGTCTCTGTCTTTTGCCCTATATTATTTCCTGTGTATGTTCTTTTTCTTCATATTGTTGTTGTTGTTTACCGTCAAGTCAGACCAATGTATAGCTGACGCTCTGGTGGGTTTTCAGAGACAGTTAATCACACAGGAGATTGCCCCATCCTTCTCTCATGGAGCAGCTGGTGGATTCAAACTGCGTGCCTTCGGGACTGGGTCAGAGCTTTTTGCTGCTAGGCTACCAGTGCTTCATATTATCTTCTTATGAAAACACCAGGGAGCTCTGGTGGCCTAGTGGCAAAAGTTGTACTGCAATCCTGAAGGCACGTGGTACGAGGCCAGCAGCTACTCTGAGTGAGAAGGATGGGCAATCTCCTCCCATGAGGTTGACTGTCTCTGAAAACCTGCTGGAGGGTCAGCTAGTCATCAGTTCTGACTTTATGGTACACAACCACCAACCAATATAAAAATACCGGTTATCGGATTCCCTCTCATTGTCTCTCACTGCTGTCAAGTTGGAGTTGACTCATAAATGACCATCCAGCAGGTTTTCAGAGGCTGTAGATTTCATGAGAGGATATTGCCTGTTTTTCTCCCAGGGAGTGGCTGAGACATTACCTTTAGGTTAGCAGTGGCACTCCCTACCCACTATGCCACTAAAACGGATTAGCCCACAGTAATTCACAAAGAAAAGAAAAAGTGATTTATAGGGTTTTAGCTGATATTGCTAAGCTCATGCTAAACAAGAAAGAAAGGAAAGATAAACATGATGTCATAAGAGACTCTGACATTTGCATTACAACATACTGTTGTGTCATTCATAGCAACCCAGTGAACAACAGGTCTGAACCTTGGCCTATTCTGCACCATCCTCATCATAGTGAGGCAAAATAAACAAAATAAATGTTGAATAGAGCTGAACAGAAGACTTCAAAGGGCAGCTCAAGAAAACAAAACAAAATGCTATTAGGAACTGTGCAAAAAGCTGGAGTTAGAAAACTAAAAGGAAAGAACACTTTCAACATTTCTTAAGCCAGAAGAACTGAAGAAGAAATCCAAGCCTTAACTTGTAATGTTGCTGGATTAAATAGACTTAACCTTGAATGTTGCAGTAAACATCAAAAGAAGATGGAAGGAATACACAGTCACTGTACCAGAAAGAATTGGTCAACACTGAACCATTTCAGGAAGTAGCATAAGATTAAGACCTAGTAGTTCAAGGTGCATTAGAAGTAGTAGCAAAAAATCAGGGCTTAACAAGACCCATACCTCACATTCTATACAAAAAGTAGAGATCTACTCAAAGTAGATCAAGGATTTAGGAGTGAAATCAAGGACTATAAACTTGATCAGAGAAAAGCTTAGAAGAACTCTAGAAGCCCTACACCACAAGATTAACAGTCTTCCAAGCATCTTGAAAAACCTGCAATCAGGAGAGAAAAAAAAATAGATCAATTTGGACCTTCTAAGAATCAAATCCTATGCATATCAAAACACTTCTCCAACAGGGTGAAAAGGAAACTCACAGAATGGGGAGGAGGAATTTAGTAATGACATATTTGAGAAGGGACTCCTATCTAAAATTTATAGAATACTCCAGCACCTCAACAAGAAAAAGGTAAACAACCCAATTGCAAAATGAATACAGGATGTGAATAGATACTACACCAAAGAAGACATTCGGATGGCAAACAAACACATGAAAAAATGTTCAAATCCCTAGTTCTCAGAGAGATGCAAGTAAAAACAACTATTAGGTATAATCTCACCCCAGTAACAATGGCAAAGCTCAGCACAGCAGCAAACACCAAATGCTGGCGAGGTTATGGAGAAACTGGGACCCTTATTCACTATTGGTGGGAGTGTAAAATGGTGCAACCACTATGGAAGGCAATATGGGACTTTCTCAAAAAGTTGGAAATATAAATGCCATTTGACCCCGTAATTCCACTACTGGGAACATACCCTAAAGAAACCAGAGCTGCCACCCAAACAGAAATATGCACACCTATGTTTATTGCTATTTTATTCACAATAGCAAGGAGATGGAAGCAGGCCAAGTGCCCATCAACAGTGAATGCGTAGGAAAAACTATGGTATATTCAAACAATGGAATACTATAAAGCCCTAAAAACCAAGGAGCTGATAAAATATTACACAACCCGAGTGACCCTGGAGGACATTATGGGGAGTGAAATACCTCAGTCACAAAAGGACAAATATTGCATAACACCAGGACTGGTATTATAAAACAAGACTGACATGGGAGTTGGGGGGAAACTAAATAATGAATACTGCATTGGAACAGATGAAGGAAAGAGTTGTTTCAAAGAAATATATGGGGAGCTCTGGTGGCCTGGTGGCAAGAAAGTGCACTGCAATCCCAGAGGAGTACGGTTCAAATCCACCAGAAGCTCTGCTGGAGGAGGGATAATCTCCTCCTGTACCAGTCAGATCCAATTTGAGAGTACACACACACAAAGATAAAATTTTAAAAGGAATATATGATTAGACATTATCTGTATGACAGCAGTCCAGAATAAGAGGAGCATATCAAAGTGCAACAATGAATGAATTATATTTTTTTCAAAAGTG